GCATCCGAGGACCACTGGCGTAGTACAGATCACCGGGCTGGAACTCCGAGTCGGGCCTCGTTACAGGTGCGTCAGGCAGGTCGGGGTGTTTTGACATGAGATTCATCGAGTCGATTCTGAAGCCATCGGCACCGCGATCCAGCCAGAACTCCATATCAGAATACGTCGCGCGACGCATATCCTCGTTGGTCCAGTTGAGGTCTGGTTGTGAAGGCAGGAAGAGCGAAAGGTAGTACTGCCCCGTTTGCTCATCCCATGTCCAGGCACTGCCACCAAATATGGAAGCCCAATTATTGGGTGGGTGGCGGTTGCCACTCGAGTCGATCTTGGGGTCTCGCCAGAAATACCAGTCCCTCTTGGAAGATGACTTTGACGAGCGAGACTCTCTAAACCACTCGTGTTCATCGCTGGTGTGATTGACGACGAGATCTAGGAGGACCTTGATGCCCCTTTCATGGCACCCTTTGATCAAGCTCTCTGCATCTGCAACAGTACCATACGGCTTGTGAATGTCGCGGTAATCGGATATGTCGTAACCCATGTCATGTTGAGGGCTCTTGAAGATGGGAGACAGCCAAATAGCGGTGGCTCCAACGGACTTGATATAGTCCAGCTTCGAGATAATTCCGGAAAGATCACCGAGTCCGTCATTGTTGGAATCGAGAAAACTGGCCGGGTAAATCTGGTAGACGACAGCTTCTTTCCACCATTGTCTGTCTGGGGGACCTGAAGTCGCCATAGTGGCTATGGTGAAAAAGAAAAGACCGTTGCAAGAGCTTGTGTTTTGACGATAAGGCGTGAGTAGATTTAAGAGTAAGGACAGTCGTAGGTTTGCAACAAATGGGCGTTTCAAAAGGTCAAGCTTGTTCACTTCTTATGTTCAGTCTCCAGACTCCCAGCTTTTGAAGTTGGCTCATGGAAACTTAACCCCCGCAGCTACCTACCCCAGATCATCGAGGCTCAGTGATGATTGGGGGTTGGTGCTAGAAACCTTCGCACTAATGGCAGCCTCATCCATATAACTTGCGTGGCGTGGTGAAGACGGCTGAATTTCCATGGTTGAATTATGATTCGTCCGCACCGGCGTGGGGAAGCTGCTAGTGCTTGGCAGCAGTCATTCCTTACAGCAGTGTAGATAGATGCTGGAGTCAGCCCAAGATCGTTCCGTGGGGCTGCAAGCTTTAGGCACTAACACAGATCGGTCCAAGTTGCCACATTTCTGCGGTGGACTAGGTTATATTACTGGTCAGATGTGGGCGCGTTGTTGGAGGAGTTCTTTCGGTCTCGAATCCAAGACACAGAGTTGACCGAACTGCCTGCCTCTTTGTGGATACCACGGAGAGACGCGGAGAAAAAGACAATTACGGGGAAGGCAAATTTTGCCGGGCTCTGAGAAAACCGTAGTCTGCACGTGGGACTATGGGGCTGAACGACGCTCAAATTCTCGGGATATTGAAAACGGACGAGTGGCTGGTGGCTAAAGCGCTCCGCTGGGTCACAGTGCCGAAAAGAAGCCTCACGCCGCACTTTGACAGCAAGAACACTTCATGTTATTTCTAAGGTTGCTTTCCTTGAGTACACTTCTTCACATTAGCCTACCTTATTCATTCAACTTTGTAAATCCTACATCTTGTCAAGATTTTCTGGCTTTGTTATCCATCTAATCACACAACCACCAGGCGAAGGTTTCCGCGCAGTTTCTAAGAGGATCCGTAGTTCAAGTCGCATTTCTGTGATTTATAAGCTGCACATACTAAACACTTGAGTAAGAAACCAAAACCAACATCCGATGCTGTAAACTCCGCGCCAGAGCTGCAGTGCGAAAAGCTCAAGACACCAACGTGGAGCTACTAGTTGAAACTGAATTCAGAGTGAATGGTATTGTCGACTGATTTCATCAAGTCTTATGACCAGATGAGTAGGCCCCGCCATGCCTGGCCCAAGTCTTCGGCAGGCAAAAGATGCCTCGGCCGAAGTCCGAAATCAGTTTTGTTGCATTAACTTCGGAAATAATACTAGTCAGAAGTCCTCAAACATGTAGCTACACAGACACTGGAGGGTAGATTGAGCAGTCTCGTGATACGCACATGCTGCAATCCGTAAAATCGAGCCATGCTTCCCTATAGATTGACAAGGGCCATGTTAGCTCGTCATCGAGTTGATCGTACTTTGTTGACGTTCCGGTCTACGCGAGTATGTGTTCGACCAATCTTTTTGTTCAAGGGTCTCAAGGCCATCTCTGACCCGCGATTCTGGTCCTTGTTCTTCATGTCTAGGTGGTTAGACAACTCTGGCCCACAGGCTCATCACTCATCGGTATCCAAACTTCCGTAAGTGAAGCTATAGTCACGATTCTAGCGAATTTGCCAAGACTTACAAATCTGATTGTTCAGTCTCTCGATATTTCCTTCCATAGACCATTAATGGCGTGAAGATGGGATCATCGCAGTTTCTTGCGTGGAAATGTTCATCCCCAGAAGGTGGGTGCAAGTACCTTTCACGACTTATTGCCGTAGCTCGTGGCTGAAGTGTTGTGTTAGTGAGTTGCCAGTTCTCCACCAGAAAGTTGAACAACCAATCGAAATTCAACCATTCCAACCGGTGCCAACAAAGATCAATGATCCACCAAATCAGTATTTCGAGCGAGACATGCGAATATGAGCAGACACACAGACCGGTCCAGTCAGATGGCGAATCCAAGGACTTGTTCTCCCTGCTAGTGCGTCAAATTCCCCCATGGCGAGTTCCCCGTGGGGACTGCTGCCACGGCCCACAGGTGTCGTCCGATGCAGATGTATAGAGTATTCGGAACCGAGCACATGGCTCGCTGAAACCTCCTATTCCAATTCGTATAAAGTCTTCAGAGCCCGCCTACCTGGTTCCGAATAACATTTCTCTCCAGCTCATCTAAAATCATTTGGTTTAATATAATTCTCCTGGCTCGATCCTCTCATCTTGTTTCCTTCCACAATGGACGCCAAAACAGCAGAGGCGACTACCGTCGTCGACCACGACCATATCGAAAAGCTCGCCATTGCGGACGAAGCCGTTACAAAGGCAACTGAGAACCAAGACCTGACCCCCAAGCAGCAGTACCAGCGTCTTTGGGCAAACCTCAAGCAAGACAAGCGTTATGTCTTCTGGGCACTCTACATCATGTCCCTCGTCTTCGGATGGGGTTACGACTCTGGACTTTCAGGAGCTGCCATTGCCTTTCCCGAGTTTCGCAAGGCTTACGGAGACTACTACCAAGTGGGAGACCAATATGTCATCCCCGCCCTCTGGCAATCTCTTTGGAACGCTGCCAGCACCATCGGTCAGGTCTTCGGTGCCTTCCTCACCGGTCAATTCGCCGATACCGTTGGCCGCAGAGCCGTTCTCTGGACAGCCGTCATTCTCTCCCTTTCTTCCTCATTTGCCCTGGTCTTCGCTCCGAGCCTGCCCGTACTCTTCGTCTCCAAGCTGTTGCTCGGTTTCTCAGTCGGCTTGTCAACCGTTACGCCTCCGCTCTACGTTACCGAAAATGCTCCTCCCGCACTTCGAAGCTCCCTCAGCTCGCTGACCAACGTCATCATTGTTCTCGGTTTCTTCCTGTCTTCCATCACAGCATGGGGATCCTCCAAGATTGAAGGCCAATGGAGCTACCGCCTGGCGTTCGCCATGACTTTCCTTGTCCCGACCCTCTTCATGATTGTCCTGCCGTGGCTCCCCGAGTCCCCCGTGTGGTACGTCAAGAAGGGCAGAGACGAAGATGCACGAAAGGCCATCTTCAAGCTCTATGGAAAGAATGTCGATGTTGAGGAGAGACTCAACTTCATCAAGTCCGAGCTCGAGCTTGCTGCTGGAGAAGCCAACATGGCTAAACAGACCAGCTGGAGAGCCATCTTTTCCAAGGAGCACCGTTTCCGTACGCTTGTTGCGGTTCTTGGATTGCAGTCGCAGAACTTCTCCGGTGGATACTTTGCAAGTGAGTAATTGTTATACATTCAAATTGAGGAGCAGATTGCTAACCAAACGGTTCTAGACACCTACCAGACCTACTACTTCGAGCTTATCGGCCAGGCTGATCCCTTCGGACTCACTGCGATCTCCTCCACCCTCCAATTCCTCTCGAACTGCGTAGCAGTCACAGTCTCCGACGTACTGCCGCGCAGAAAGTCTTTGGTCGGCGGCGGCGCATTGCTGTGCTGCTGGTCTATCATCATCGGTGGCACATCTCTCGCTGGAACTGCGAACTACTCGGCAAACATGGCTCTTCTCGCTTTCATGATCACATGGTCGATGTTGTACACCGCTACAGTGGGCTGCTTCGGCTGGGCCGTCGCTCAAGAGACTGCCTCCCAAGCCACAAGGCCCAAGACCATCGCCTTCAGCTTGGTGTGTCAGCAGCTTACAGCCCTTCTCTTGTCCTCGGTGTTCCCATTCTTCATCAACCCTGACCAGCTGAACTGGGGTGGAAAGATCATGTTTCTGTTTGTCGGCGCCGAGGTGTTCGTCCTTGGACTTCTCTTCTTCTTCCAGCCCGAGACGAAGAACAGAACCTACCAGGATATCGATCACATGTATTCCCAGGGGATTCCGGCAAGGAAGTTCAGCGAATACGTTGTGGTGGACGGAGTGGCCGTCAAGAAGGCCACCTCTTGAGACTAGTGCAGAGTACACTTTGTCATCGGCACAGGAAGGTTCTAGAGTCTGTTGTTTATCTAGGTTTCCAAACCATATCTTCATATAAAGCGATCCGTTTTCAAGTTTTGAAAATTCAGCCTAAATTTTGACAAAGGATGGGGAAGAGATACCACGCTAGTAATGCAAGTTCCTTACTTGGGTTAGTTCAGAAATTGCCCCCAGAACGACGTTGCGGAGAGTGCGGAGTCTTACCATAAACCTGGAGAACTTCTGCCCGCAACGCGAAGTAACCCCCTACCACAACCTTCATCCATCCTGCATGACGCTTTTCTTATCTTTGCCTCTTCACGGTCTATCTCCTATTAATACGTATCATGTCCCAAGAAGCCAACACACGGTACTCTAAGAGGCTACCCAAGGTTCGACAGGCTTGTGATCCATGTCACTCGCGCAAAATCCGCTGCGATGGGCGCTGGCCCTGCGCAAACTGCCAGGAGACAATATTGGAGTGCACCTATGTGGCGGTTCCGAAGAAGACAGGGCCGAAAGGTCCCCGCCATGCACGGAAATTTATCCAACGGCAACAGATCAATCCACAACAGTCTACGTCCTTTGCCGTGAACCCAGATGCAAGAGAAACCGGATACGAGTCCCAGACGAGCAGATCACCACATGCAGTCACGCCACCATCACCGACTCAGAATGTGACTCCGCGGGACCCCGGCTTTCAGGCCTCGCCCCTAGTATCGACTGATATCATACAGTGGTGTCTCGACGCCTTCTTCAGACACAAATACCCACTTACACCCATCTTACATCGACAACAAGTCGAAGAATGCATACGCGATCTCTCAATCTCACCCGAGAAATACGGGCTTATGACAGCTTGCTCAGCCGTCATATCCCTCTCGCCCGAGATCCTACAGCCACCAGACCCGCCCTCAAATACGTCGACCGAAGTGCCTGCGCCTATTCTTCCAACAACCGAGTTTCTCATCTCAGAGACTCTTCGAGCTAGACGTCAATGCGATCTCGCCGAGCATCAGTCCTTACTTCATGCGCAAACCTCCTTCTTCCTATTCTCGGCCTTCTTCTGCATGGACAACGATAATGCTGCATGGTACTATCTCCGAGAGTCAATCACCATTTTACAGACGCTACGCCTACATGAAGAAGCCACGTACAGCGACATTAATGATCCGGTCCTGGCGACGTATGCTCGACACATGTTTTGGGTTCTGTTCATCACGGAAAGAGCATATGCGCTGCAGAGACACAGGCCGCTGACACTGCAGAGCACCTTGGGCCTACCCATTGTTGACCCTCTAAGCTCAGATGCCGCAATCTTACCTGGGTTCCTTGATCTCATCTCTCTTTTCCGGCACTTCGATACCGACTTTATAGCAACCTGGAATTCGTCCACGCCATCCACAACATCGTCTTCGGAAGCAACAGACCCAGAACATCTCTCGAAACTACAAACCGTCCTGAAGTACGCGATCCCAAGTGTCTCAAACTATTCCGAGATGCAGCAGGCCGACCTCTTGATCTCACGGCAATGGCTCAAGGTCATTGTGTGGAAGCTATGCGTATCCAAGACGCTGTTATCTATCACGGATAGTGAGGATAGCATGTCGCTGAGCTACCCTACCGCCGTGGCCCGCGACGTCGTACTGATTTCGCGGCTGCTGCCAACTAAAGCATTTGAAGCCAACGGTGTCGGCATACTAGAGAAGGTTTTCGATGTAGGATGCTCACTGGCAGATCTGATATCGCTCGGCCCAGCCACGAATCAGTGGTCCGCTATGCATGTCGGTCCGATTGACATCTTGATGGAGATTGTGAGAATAGTTGGGACAACTCTTGGCGGAAGTTATAAGCATTTGGATATATTGTATAGCAAGGCAAATGACTGCCTTTTTATGAATGTTGATAGGATGATAGCTCCAGGTGAAGTCCATCGGGAAACTAATGATATTGAGGAAGTACTCGAATAGACTACGCGATAATCGAGATTCCAGTCATTATCATAACGAATCCTTTACTTAACTTGGCTCGGAGCCGATCGACGGTGTCTTTAAACCTATGTGGATCTTACGTGTTATCATTACCCTCAAGTGCAAGCTTCTCTGACACTCTCAACACCGCCCAATACGTCAATAGTCCTACTAATGATAACTACCTAGGTACCTACCCAGGTATTTCCATCGCTTTTTATCGGATTAGCCCTGTCACGTGCTTCGACATATATCCATTCTCCCTTAACGGACAATTTATTATTAGAATGCTACAGCCGTTCCATGATCAAGTTTCTGGGTTACTGCTATGGACAGGCAGAAGAGAGTACTTTACGGGTTTATTAAGACTACAGGATTGCCCAAACATCTTTTAAGTGCGGGGCACTACTTACTTTTTGCCCGGATCACTCAAAGGGATAGACGATGGCAAGGTGTGCCCGCATGAGGGTGCCGTAGCCTTCGAGGGACTAGGTAGGAATTTAGAACATGGGAGCTAGCACGCCTGATCGCTGACGCTGGAAGAGGACCTCGCTGCCCATCACGTGCCCTGCAAAGACAATGGTTGACATGATCTAGCCATACCCGAGTGCGCCTGGGAGGCACTGGCTGACGCCGAACAGTGAATTCTGCCTCAGGATATAGTGGAACTCCAGCATTCTACTGGCCGTCATTTGTTTGCTAAAAGTGCATCCCGTTCCTATTCCATTCTAGGGTGACGTAGGCTCCGGCGACCAATCTTCGGCCGTTCCTGCAAAGCGATCGTACACTGCCTCAATCATTCATACTCTACTTTCAGGAATTGTCGAGACTCGAAACTAGACTATGATAAAAAGACGATGCCCAATTTCATATGCGTATCCTTTTTCGCTCTTGCATCTAAGTTCATGACCGCACGTTGCAGGCTTACAGGTCTATTTCCACCTCAATAATCAGAATTCTAGGTATCTACCTACCTAGATAGCCAAGACCATCGCCCTGATCATGGGCATTTCAACGGAGGCTGTTATCGCTATCGTCGCTCTGTTCATCGCCCTTCCCCCAATCGTATTCAAGGTGTTGCAATGGATGCGCCAAACACAGCAGCGCACTGAGCTTCCAGGTACTATTTTCTTGGCTCTCCTCTGACCTGCACCAAACCCTGTACGAAGACGGATAGTTATTAACATCTGACTTGTCGTATAATAACGCCAGTGGTTTCCCCCCTCGCTCAAACCCAAACACGGTGGCTTCCCAACTGCGATGTCCACAACGAGCTTTTCGCATTTACACCCCTCGAATTCGACCGGAGCACAGACACATCAGAATTGTTCTCCCGAACGCGTATGATATTGGAGCACACGAGAGTCATAGTGAACCGTCGTGGCCTATAAGCCTGCATGTTGGCAATTTGCAAGGGTGTCCCCTTGTAGATCATCAACAACGCAGGAAGAGGGGCTACATGTCGCCGCGAAATTTAGGCCCGGTTGGTCTGGGTGCGGTGCATCCAGAGACTACCTACGGATTACCTTAGCGAAGTGGGACCAGCCTCTCGGCACCTCACCCCACCTCGACGGGACAGTCGAGTACCGGTCGCCGGTCGGGACATTCGGACAGAAACCAAAACTTGCATCGCACATTATGATCACAGAAACATCATTTCGGCTAGCATTTCAGGCGTCTGGATGTCATTAGACAATAGCTTTGTGGAAATAGAGTTTTCTTTTCCACGTCGCTTTCTCCCCTTAAACGGAGTAACCTGCGCTTATCTCGTATCGCCTTCACCATCCACTCTATGAATGTTTGATCCAGCCGGCATGCCCTGTAGATCACTGGCGTTGCTCACAGTGAAACTTGAACGCTAATTTGTGTTTGATCGAAGCATCACGTTACTTGAGACATTCTTCGCTCTCGAAATGCATCAAACCCGGAGACCGCCCAATGCATCTTCAAACACCTCGAAATTCCCCTCATTCTTGCGATCGTAGACCGCAAACCACACCTCCCTCCACCATCCACCCCCAAATTCAGCTTCGCCCAGCACCTCTAGCCAACATCTGACAATCTCTTCAGGAGGGTTCCTAAATGCTCCGCACCCCAACGCTCCCAGCACAAGCAGACTGTGCCCCCGACTCGCCGCCATCCTCAAACAAAGCCTCATCTTACTCATCGTGAGCGTGCGATCTGTCTCCTTGGCAAACTCATACACTTCTTCGTCCCCTGCAGGCGTAGAGATTTTCCGCTTCACCACTTCCGGTCTCCGAATCGCCGCAATGCTGAGCACACTTACAACGGGTAAATCGCCATACGCGACTCGCGGAACAAGAAGCTTGTGACCACTCGCCATGTCGCCCCGAATAACAACCACATCAGGCGTGTAAAGTCCCCCGCGGCGCTTGAAGGGATAATACCGTTTATGCAAGCTGAGATACAGCGACGAGCGATAACACATGGCCTCCTCCTGCGCGATCGCACCTTTCAACCATCCGCCGCCGGCGTGGATATCTGAAGCCATATTCAGCACGGCCACACGGCCGCCATCAGGTCGGCGCGCAGCGAGTTCGATTGCCGCATTGAGCGAGTCCTCGTTGACGATCTTGATCTTTGCGCGCGGGGTGTGTCCCGGGCAAGCTGAGGTTTTCAGAGGCGGGAGGTAATCCAGGTGCAGATCTTCTGATTTTGAGGCGTTGATGTTGGGCAGGTGGGGGAGGATCTGAGGAAGCGCTGAGCGTGTTTCTGCTGCGACGGCGGCGAGTGATGGACTTGAGCGGTCTGATGGTTTTTGGGCGGGTTTTGACGAGGATGAGGGGTTTGGTGCTGATGATGATGACTGCGTGGGGGACTGTCGATTTGGCGAGCGAGGTTTCTTCTGAACTCCGCCGCCGTTCCTAGAGAAGGCGAAGTCGAAGAGGTTTCTCTGCGGCATCGTGATGTTTGATGTTGAGACGCTGCTTGACGGTTGAAGTTGACAAAAGCTTTAGGTTGAGATGAAGGATTGATATGGCGTCTTGGGATGGATGCCTAGCCCTGAACGAGGCGCAATGCGCCTAGAAGCGAGATCCTTGCTGCGGGGTTAATGGTTCGGACGGTTGGTGCTGTGTGTGCCTGAAGATCTCTTGCGCCGCCGAAATTTTTGCAAGGATGCGCGTTCTGAGTGATGAATTACCAAGAGAGGCCATGTATTCGCGGAATCGCTGACGTGAAAAGGTGGAGAAGAATCCGAGATGTTGGATTGGAAAGAAATAAGGTCGATGTTCAGTAGCTGCCGTCGATATTAGAAGTGAACCGGCTGACCGGGCTGACTCACTAGTGGTGCCAATTTCTCTCCAACCGTTCGGACGCACGTGTTGGTCAAAAGCCGTTGCAACGGAAGGCGCATTGAGAGCGAATAGATAAGGCAAGACACAAGTGGTAAGAGCAACAGAGAAGGAGCTGGCGACAGGTGATTCGTGTAATTGCGCTTGTGGCTCTTCACGCGGACACTCCGTGGTTTCTATGTTCCTATGTGTATCGAGGCTGAGTGTTGGGCATGGGTATCATTTCAGATTTTGTCTAGATGATTTATACATGGTGTTACAAAACTTTACATCCTTCAATGTGCCTCTCATATCTTTAATAGGCATCTTTAGGCTTTTGTCTTTATGGCTCCCTCAGGAATCGTATCCTCAGCCTCGAATTTGCGCGGGATAAGACCTTCAGCCATATCAATCGCGCTCTGCATGTCATTCTTGTTGAACAAGAACAAGCCCTGGATCGCAGCTGTACTCGTGAACCGGTTCGCTGTCTCCCCGGTGCCGTTACCAAAGAGACCCAGATCTTCCAGTCTCTGCAAGAATCGTTCCCGACCAGCACCGTCTGTGTCCACGTCGCCGTAGAAGCGGTCCCACATCAGACCTGCCTGGTACTTAGTCGCCTCGCCGATACGCATCATCATGTCTACTCGACCCGGTCGAATCAGCGCCGGATCAAGACGCTCAATATGGTTCGTGGTCAAGAACGCGATGCGCTCCTCGCCGGCAGCCAAGCCGTCAAGAGCATTGAGCAGGCCAGAGAAGGTGACACTAGCGCCGCTGTAGCCATCGGCATCGCGCTGCCGGCGATTGACGAACGCTGAATCCGCGTCCTCTAGCAAGAGAATACTCCTGCGGGGCAGTTTCGTCAAGAGATATGCCAGCTTGTCGTCCGTCATACCCATCTCGCTGAGGTTGACCATGGCCACGCTAAAGTCCAGCTCACCAGCAAGAGACTGGATAAAGGAACTCTTGCCGCTGCCAGGGGGTCCGAACAGCAGGTATCCACGGCGGTAGGGGATACCGCGGTCAACATACCACTGCTGTCGTCCCAGGAAATCTTTGACGTCGTCCACGATGCCTTCCTTCACACCCTCATCCAGTATAACCGAGCCGAGAGGTCGCTTCTTCCGAGGATCACCGAGCGGCGCCCATTCCATGCCTCTTGCAGAGTATACGACCGTCTTGCCCTCGTTCGCTTTCGCCGCCAGCGCGTGCGCCTCACCAAATATGTCCTCGAAGACGTGACGGTGCGCCCACAGCGTCGTCAATTGTACGATTTCGTGAGGCTCGCCCGTGTTCATGTTGGCCGTGTTGTGCTTCTCGCGGTTGATTGCGATGAACGCATTCTTGTGCTTGACGATATGTCGCCCGTACCCAGGCTGCAGGAAAAAATGCGCATTTGTCGGGCTATTTGCACCTCGCTGGGTGGTAGTGGTCGTCGAGACGGAGAGGTTGTGGATGCGGGTGATGCGCGAGGCAATGAAACCGGCTTGCTCGCGCGGCTGCGACAGCCACGCGAGAATCCAAGGGTACGCTGGATCCTGCTTGCTGATTTCGACATTGACGAGGAGGCGGCGTCGAGCAGCTCCGGCTGCGACGACGACGCCTTTGCGACCGAAGGCTGCGACTGCGCCTAAGCTCGCGAGGCCGATGCCGCCGGCGAAGAGGGGGTTGTTGAAGAGGGCATCGAGGTTGAAGATCGAGGCTGGGCCGGACGACGCTGCTGTCGGTGCCGCGACGGGAGCTGCCACCGTTATAGCAGCCGCCGGCGATGCAATCGGTGCTGTCGAAGCTGTGATATCGGTCGGGGACATGATCAACGACGGTTGTGATGGCTCCAGGCTCGCATCGCACGATGTTGGTGCGGGCTTTGGGAATGTGGAAATGTTTGACGATTTTTTGAGACGGACCGGAAGCTTGAACAGGGATGATGGAGCTTGCCTCAAGTCACGGAAGGCTCTGGGCAAAATCCCCGGTCAAGCGTTCAGGGGCCTACCCCTGTCGCTACGTTCCCTGAGAACCCTTGCGGCCCCGTACTCCGTACTGTGTAAGTACTGGGCAGCTCTTTCCACAACTACTCGGTGACATTCTCACCAATGTTCCTTGACATTAACGTCTCTATGGATCTGCACCTTCCTGTCCCCTCTAGAAGCACTATATTCGAATCAGAGATGTTCTCAGAAGCTTTTTGATGCACGATGCCTAAAAGCTGCATTCCTTCAACCTCCGGCAGTGCAGCTCTATTCAGGGCGGAAAAGACCATTAAATAACCAGTGTCGGGACCATCAACGGCCAATTGTTCTTCGATGATGCCAGTATCTTAGACGGACTCCAATCTGGTATTCGGTTAGTTAGCCCTGATTATTTCGCGGCTGCTGCATCTACGGGAATCTAGCTGCCGCATCTTAGTGTGAGACGAAACAGACTAATTTCGCCAGAATCCGACCAAAATCACCCCTAGCAGAATCCCGAGAAACAAGGGCCACCATCAGGTGGTGTCGATGAGGCTACGAGAAGCTGGATAGAAGCCCAAGAGAAAGATAACTCGGAATGGGATCGTGGCAAGATTACGCATAACTACATGGGGTCGGCGCCTAAGTTCAAGACCAAAAAAGTCATCATGTTGTCCCTGGTTGTTTTCACTGCGTACGTCATCCAGCCCTTTCGAATTGTAGGAGGGGGAGGCCAATTGACTGAAACCCCAACAGAAGCTTGGAAATCTCTATCTTCATTCCCGCTCGTGTCCAGTTCTTCGAGGAGTTTGGCTTGACCCTGATGCAGGCAATCGTGCCTTGACCAATGTGCGTCTTCACTCTCGGCTTGAGTCCTGTCGTTGGCGGTCCATCATTGGAGGAAGTTGGCCGGCACCGCGTCTCATGAGTCTCTCTCTGGATGAGCCCTTAACTCTCCGCGGGAGGTTCTGCCCCAGCTTCGCCGGAATAAGCGCCCCCCGGTTTCTCGTAGGGCTCTGAATCTCTTGCAGCTTGACTATCTAAATGCTCTGTCTTCGACCACGTACATCATAATGCCGTTTCCTGGTCCAGGGCTGGTGGACATCTGCATCGCTCTCTCACGCAGCCACAACCGCGAACAAACAATATCCCAGTGATAGGAGCTGCCGTCGTGAGGCGGAAGAGCTGGTGCTGCAATACGCATTTAGCACTACGTACGGCTCTGGAATTGAGCAGCATGGCATAGCCTTTATCTCGATAGCAGTGAGATGCGTCCTAGGAGCCTTGACCGTTGTATTTTATAGAATCCCATGCCCGTTGGAAAACCGCCAGAGTACAGATTTCTGGCCATGTTCGGGTATATCGGGTTCTCACTGGGGCTTTTGATTGGGCAAGGTTATTCGGGACGAGAGCATTTCCGACACAGTCACGAAAATACCGAGATATGGCTGTCAATGTAAAGAAGCATAACTTGATGGTTCAGATATTCATAACTGAGCACATGCTGACGTTGCAGAGGAAAAAGTGACAGCTCGGGCTGGCCCGAAGATGGTGATCGGCGGCGTGGAGCAGTCTTCCAGCCGGGGAAATGTCCGATCGTGCCGATGTAACTGGGTACACCTGAAAACGGGAGTTTGGGGGGCTGGCTGTGGAACCCCCACGAACCCAAACTTGTCACTTTTTGGGCGTTGGCCCTTTGAGAACATCATTTCGTAAGGTACCGGGATGAATCGAGCAGGGTTCAATATGACGAACCAAGCGCGACGGCGTAAAACAAAAACAGGGGCATTTGTGGAGGGGTTATCTCTGTTGGTCGACATCGGGATGAGGGGGAGGGGAACGCAGACGAAGTGCGTACGTCGCCTTTATCTATCAGATCAATTTTTTTCTTCCAATTCTGAGGATAGTCTGGGAAGGGGTCTCGCGCGTTTCGTCCAGACATGGAGATGAGACGCGCAAGTCTCTCTTGAAATATCCGCTTCATGGTGTGACCCTTTGCCATTTTGGTGTTATCCCTTCGGCTGGGGCTGTGCCGAATTTGGTTTGCTGGGCGTCCAGGGCCACCCACGGCAACTCCAGTCTCCAAGAGCACCAAGAAATCCCAAGACAAAACCGCGCAGCACGGCAAAACGGCACTCATTTTGTTTTGCTAGTGAATCCATCGCGGTGTGTTCTTGGTATCTTCTTGGCTCAGCCAGGCACCCAGCCATGGCCAGCCAATAGACTATTACGCAACGCTGTCTGCCGGTGGCGCGGCTTATTCAGGCCAGATGAGGGGGACTGGATGGGGTGCAACACCTTGGCGCGCATGAGTTTGCTTTGCGCTTGGCCTTTTTGCTTTTCGAGTGTTGTCTTTTTTTTTTCTTAGCCGTCTCAGTCGTCTGGTCTCATTCTTTAACCGGCCTTGTCCTGCAGCCACCAAGCCCAATGATGTTTCTGGCGTGGCGACCTTGTTTCTCACTCCTTCAACGACATCTCTAGAGTTTTTGTCGCATCTCAACTTTACAATGTCGCATCTACACCCATCGCGATAGTTTCATCCTATCCACCCTGTCGACGAGCTCAAGCGATATCTTCCCACTTCTTCAATGATCACGACGACGACCCACCTCATCACCACATCAGCCTCATTCTGCTGACGACGGTTGCTTCTCACTTAACCACAACGCAAAGGTATAGCT